ATTGATTCTACCGATCCTCTACCACCACTGGAAGAGTATCGTTTCTTTACCGAGCTAATCTACAAAAGCGCATTAGAAGCTCAGAAACGACGTGTTCCAAGTGCATCCCTCAAAAGAAGACCCGCCACCCCTGGATGGGATGACGAATGCACAAAGTTGTATCTTGAGAAATCCGATGCCTTTAAAGATTATCGTAGACATGAAAGATCTGAGCTTTTTGAAAAGTATCTAAAGCTTGAAAAAAAGCTTAAGAACTTACTAAAAGCAAAGAAACGAAATTACTGGCGTACTTTTATCGAGGGACTTTCTAGAGAAACCTCGATGACAACGCTTTGGAAAAAGGCTCGCTATATGCGAAACCGCTCATCTTCCAATGAGAGTGAAGAATACTCCTCCCAATGGATATTCGACTTCGCTAAAAAGGTTTGTCCAGATTCTGTTCCAGCACAACCAACTTTACGGGATACAGTCCGAAGTAACGGTTCTCTGGATGAACCATTCACAATACTGGAATTTTCAATGGCACTTCTTTCATCGAATAACTCTGCTCCGGGAAGCGATATGATCAAATTCGACCTTCTAAAAAACCTCCCCGATATCGCTAAAAGACGATTACTTAACCTATATAATTCATTTATGGAATTCAATATAGTTCCACCAGCATAGAGACAGGTTAAAGTAATAGCTATTCAAAAGCCTGGGAAACCAGCGTCTGATCACAATTCTTACCGTCCGATCTTTATGTTATCATGCCTGAGGAAATTATTAGAAAAAATGATCCTATTAAGACTTGACCATTGGGTTGAATCAAACAATCTACTTTCAAATACGCAATTTGGTTTCCGGAAGAGTAAAGGAACAAACGATTGTCTAGCGATGCTTTCATCTGATATTCAACTGGCCTTTGCGCACAAGGAGCAATTGGCTTCAGTATTTTTGGATATTACGGGCGCATTTGATTCGGTTTCCATAGACATACTGTCAGACAATTTGCACAGTAGTGGATTACCCGGTGTTTTGAATAATTTTTTGTATAATTTGCTGTCAGAAAAACAAATGACCTTCAATCTAGGTCAACTGACAACTTCTAGAATTAGCTACATGGGCTTACCCCAAGGTTCATGTTTAAGTCCCTTACTTTATAATTTCTATGTCAAAGATATTGATAACTGCTTAGATAATCTATGCACGCTCAGATAGCTTGCAGACGATGCCGTGGTTTCCATGAGAGGTCCACGTGCGGAAATCTTGCAAAGACCATTGCAAAATTCCCTAAATAATCTGTCTTTCTGGGCAAGAAATTTAGGGATCGAGTTTTCACCGCAAAAAACTGAATTGGTAGTGTTTACAAGGAAGCGGTTTCCAGCCCAACTGCGTCCAAATCTTTTGGGCAGAGACATTACCCAATCTTTAACCTTCAAATACCTTGGAGTCTGGTTTGATTCAAAATGCACTTGGGGTACCCATATTACGTATTTGAAACAAAAGTGTCAACAAAGGATCAACTTTCTACGATCAATTTCCGGGACATGGTGGGGTGCTCACCCGGAAGACCTCATTAAACTATATAAAACGACTATTCTTTCAGTTCTTGAGTATGGCTCTTTTTGCTTCCACTCGGCAAGAAAAAGCCACCTAATCAAATTGGAACGTATTCAATATCGTTGTTTACGTATTGCTCTTGGCTGTATGCATTCAACACACAATATGAGCCTAGAGGTCCTAGCGGGCGTAAAACCCCTGCAGAACCGTTTCTGGGAGCTCTCATTAAGAATATTGATTAAATGTAGTGTCAGTAACAACCTTGTGATTGAAAACTTCGAAGAAATGCTCGAATTGAGCATCCAGTCTAGATTCGTGCGAATCTATCTTAATTATATGTCATCGGATATTAGCCTTCCTTGCTATAACCCCTCTCGTGTATGCTTTACTAACTACAGTTCCCCCATTGACTATGATCTCTCCATGAAACAGGCTATTCAAGGAGTTCCAGATCAACTTCGACCTATCTCAATTCCCCGCATTTTTGCTGAAAAGTACCAACAAGTCAATTGCAATAGAAGATTTTTCACTGATGGATCACGCATTGATGGATCCACTGGCTTCGGCGTCTTCAATGAATACTCAACCGCCTTTCGGAAACTTCAGGAACCTTGTTCCGTTTATGTTGCTGAGCTAGCAGCAATCAACTTCGCATTGGGGATGATTTCCGATATGCCCATAGACCATTACTTCATCTTCCCGGATAGTCTCAGTTCGATTGAGGCTATTCGGTCGATGAAACAAGGTAGGCACTCATCTTATTTCCTTTCAAAGGTAAGGGAGCAGATGAGTTTGCTGGTCGAAAGATCATATATGATTACCTTTGTATGGGTCCCCTCACATTGCTCAATCCCAGGCAATGAGAAGGCAGACTCTCTCGCAAAGGTGGGCGCACAACAAGGCGAGATTTATGATAGAAGAATTTCACATGATGAATTTTTCCCACTAGTACGTCAGAGTTCTCTTTTAAGTTGGCAAAACGATTGGACAAATAATTCTCTTGGGCGGTGGTTACATTCCATTATTCCAAATGTTTCTTCGAGAGCGTGGTTCAAAGGTCTGGATGTAAGTCGGGGATTCATTCGAGTGATGTCAAGACTTATGTCCAACCACTACTCGCTAGACGCACATCTCTATAGAATAAACCTCGTTGACAGCAATATATGTAGGTGCAGAACCGGTTATGATGACATCGATCACGCAGTTTGGTATTGCCCGGGTAATGACGCCTCCAGAGCACGACTATTGGATACCCTAGTGGCCCGAGGTAGACAACCCTTCCGTGAAGTAAGAGATGTATTGGGAACACGTGATCTTCCCTACATGCAAGCGATCTACGAATTCCTTTGTTTGTCTGATGTTAGAGTTTGATGTGACTATCCCCTCCTTTCCAAACAATTTCCCGCCATTGTGTCCCAGCCTTATTATCCTCCTGTTCCTGTGCTACTTGCCCTGCCCAGCCAGGATTTGGTCAACCGTCCGAGAGTAGTATCTGAAGGAGGCTTCAGAAACCAGTTTCCTACCTAGATCCTTCCAATTGAAATTGTTACCTATTAACCTCGAGCCCGCCACGAGTAATTGGTACCCAATACTAACCTAGAAATACTGCTATTTAAAATGTAAATCAAACATTACTGATTTTGGCTCCGCAAAGTGTCACACACGACTGAGCCTAGTAAATAAACGAACTAGTTAAAAAAAAAAAAATATGCATGGAGTGTCGATCAGATTAGCGTGAGTCCACGGAGATGCAGTGCACGAAACTTAACCAACAAAGCATAAGAGCAAGTAGCATAAAAGCTTATTTAGGCAAAACTATGCTTCTGCAGCTAAAAAATGGCTTATTCAGCCTTTAATCAGCACATATTGTTTATTGGGTAACCTACAAACCAAATTTAAACATATTGAAACCATTAAAATTTGGCTGTTTTTAGACGTGGCAAAATATTCAGCAAAATAATGTTGCTGAAACTTCCAGCAATTCGAACTTCTTCAGAATCTTCAGTAAATCTGTAATTTTTTGCTGAAGCTATACCACAGCAATAAATGTTTCTGTTTAAATGATTTTTCAGTAAATTTCTGCGAAACTGAAACAACAGTAAATTTAATTTATTCCATTTTTACTTATACCATAGACAACGACACGAATGCCACGATGATGGTAAAGTGTCGTTAATAAATAATAATAATAATAATAATAACATGCATCGCAAATAAGGTTTTAGTTGTGAATGTGGTCGTATTTGTCATGGTGGCGCCACTGAAGCGTTAAGCAAGCCACCCCATTTCGAACTTATCAGTGATGCCAGTTCTTTTTCAGGTCAGTTTAATAGATGTCAGCTCTTGAAAATGATACGTGGCCAAGGCAGACATATATCACACGAACACAGAAAAACACAAGCTGTTGAATATTACATCCAAACTGCTACATTGTTCATTCCACATGTGTAATATTACGCTGTACGATGGACACAGAACTTGAGAACAAATCGTTTTAATGACTGTAATATTCTATCAACTTTTACCATTTATTGATGTTCAATACATCACTATAGACAAACATTTGTTTTGATTCGCTATGATAGTTTGACAGCTTAAATGAGGGGTTCGTGGATTTTCATATGTTTCGAGGGGTGCTTGGAACCGAAGAGAGTACCAGAGCTGAGCTGAAAAGTTGAGCATGTTCCTTCGGGACCTTCTGGTCTTAGAGTTACCTCTATGGTAAATACATGTCATCGTTATAACAACCACATCAATTAACTGCATTGAGATGAAACTTTTTTTTATCCAATCAATGCATGTGTAACGGAAATTGAATTACAGAGTGATGAATGATTATTTAATTTTGTGATTTTGTCTTCTTCTGCGTAGCTAAATAGACGCATAGAACGAACCACGCGATCAGCTGAGCTTCACAGTTCTTTGCTGGTTGGGAGTAAATAGGAAACTATAACGGTACACCTTAACTGGCCTCGAAGCAAATGCATGTTTATTTTTGTACTATATATCTTTCCCGGTAGAACGTGCCGATGCAGTTTCGAAAGCAATAAAACTTTTCATCCGAGCGAGATGCTTGCAGTTTTCCATCGACTCAATCTACTGAACGCTGCCCTCTCATCATACGCATCTGCAAAAGAATTCACGCACGACACCCGGATCAAAGATGAAAGCGGTTCTCGCGCTCTCTTTCGATGAATGATTTCATAATGCACTTTGTACATTCTCTAGAAGTCTCTTTTTTGCTTGAAAGAAAGTTGCCAAATAATCTAAAGTCATTTGAAAATTAGTGGTTGCAATCATTTGAAATTGCTGACATCACTGGCTTTTCTCTCGATTTTCGTGAAAATTCTGACATGAGCATGAGAGTACGATCGTGGAAAATCCGGTGGCTTTTTCCCTTCCGCTCACGCTCGCTCTCTTCGGGAAAAATAATATCCCTTAGAACAGACGATCGGCCAGTCATCGTCGAGTCGTTGCGTAGTAAGTTTCACATTTCGTGCGCGATTTCCCAATTCCGTTAGAAAAGTGTCACTTTTTGGGTCAACATACCCGTTTTTCAGACTTGGAGTGCAACGATACAGGTACTATCTCAATGATGCAATGAAGATCTATGAAAACTGAGTTGTAAAGCATGTTTTTTCTATTCTTAAAATCATAGAACACTCTGGAGTCGACACATGGTCATCGCATTAGGAGGAAAAAGGGAATCCACATGGCCTGCTGGTTGTAGCGAAGAAACACCGGTGCACGGCGTGTCACGATCGGCTCTTGCCTACTGAGGTGTCAGCCATCTTTGTGTCGATCGTGTCTCTGTGTAGTGAAATCTGTGATAATTTTGCAACGCAACACGGTAGCGTGAGGAATTTCACGATTCTACCACTCACCGCTGCCGTCGGTGAGCTTTGCAGCAAAACATTCGGGAAAAGAAAATTTACTTTCGAATAAACATGTCATCAAATTGCTTGATGGCGCATGTTTAAAATTGCGAACCCATGTTCTACTTGGATGGGGTACAATCATTAGAAAATACGAAATTTTAGTCACATTTTCGAGAATCAGAACGGGAAGGTGAAGTTTTGCTACGACGACGGGTGGAGCAAGAACATCAGTGAGCAGCGCAAAGATCAACTTCACTTAGGCCATTTTGGCTAAAAATAGTGATCGGATATTTTTAGTTTAACAACACTCACCCATACAGGCGCTCGGAGGAGACGCGTGTTTCGAAGTCTAGTCAGCGGGGAGCTAGCGAGAATGTGTAAAGAATAACACATTGGGAAAACGCTCGGAAAATTAATGGCCCACCGTGGATCGTTACTCTAGAGAGAACAAGGTGTGCAGCGACCGCTGATCATTTCGGGTATCAAATTTACACCAGCAAAAATTTGTTGTTTGAAAGTACCGGCCTTACTCCGAATGCCGAAATAGTATTACGCGAAGGGAGAGAGAGAAAGACAACACACCGAAAAAGTAAGCAAGATCAAAATAAATTGAAACCCATTTCGAGAACCACCGCAAAAGTGCCCATGTAAATGCCAGTGAAGTAGAAAACAAACCAAAAGGAAAAACAACGGGAAAATTGTGTCGCGTTGATGAAATGTAACAAAAATAAAACATCACACCGAATCGGCTTTTCGGGAGTATCCGGAAGACAGTTTGAGTGAGAGTCACGACGCAATTTCGATATTGGTGAAGTTAGAGCAGCTAGCTAAGGTATTTGTTTGAGTGTGTCAACGTGAATGCGTCACACGAGGCGGCATTTCGAGAGGAGCAACGTGGTCTCGTGCAGAAGAATTGCGCGTGGTGAATTGTGCTGACCGAGTTAAGTTTGGACTACGATCGTTGGAATTTGTTGCTGACCATGGGTTTGGAAGGCGTCCAATCTCGGCAGAATGGTACGAATGGGCTGTATTCATCATCACTACAGTGGTACTATTTGCCCAACGTAGATCATTCGAGCGAATCTATTCAAGTAAGTGAAGTACAAGAGTGGACTGTATGGGTACATTTAAAGAAATAAACGTTATGAAGACATTTTATAATATGTACGATGTACATCATTCCCTCAATTAGTGCGCTTGATAGCGCTAATGGAGTTTACGTGGTGCATTATACGTTTTGACCTAATTGGGTTCAGCCATTTTATGAAGCAGTGTTTTTAAAAGAAAATCATAAAAATGCATTTTTGATTAAATTTTCATATTCGCCTGAATCAGGATGTTATTGAATTTCGAGTCAAATTGAGGCTGCACTGGACAGTTTTTATCACGGTTCACTTGAATGTGTGGTTTTATCAGGAATCCGAATTTCTTCACAACGTTAGTTCTTGAACATTTATCAGTTGAATATAAACATCGGATTCATTAATTAAAATTTTTAATTTCTGTGTACCGTGATGGAATTTATCGGGTCCTTATTAAGTCCTCGGTTCACTACTAGCCTGCATAAAACTACTTAGGCTTAGATCTGATTTTAGGCCTGCACAACCCGCCCTTTAGCTGTATTTTTTGAGTGGATTTTTTTTTTCTCAAAATGGAATGTTGTTTTTACTGTAGATGCCATCTAAATTTATGTACCTTTCCGAAGGTACCGTAAGATTTGATAAATAGTAACACATTTTTGAGATGTTGTTAAAAGTATAACACTGCTTCTTTTATAATAATATAAAACCTCAAAGTTGGCCTACGAATTCTAAATTCAACCTAAAACATTGAAACGCAATTGAATTTCCTTCGGTCTATCGGAAGAAGATACAAATTAATTCGGTTGGAGCGCTTCTTTTGTTGTTGAGAATAATGGGAGCAAACATTCATATCACGCGTTCTTATTGACTTCGTTCGGTAGCTTTTGAACTAAAGTAGCGTACCAAACGCATAATTGACTTTTCAACGCCGAAATCATGGATTTATTTGATGTTTTATGATTGATAGGCCCAAAATTGGCTATTAGGCGGAAGTAGTTCTCTACTGAATTGCTCATTATTTAGACTAAAGGGCGAACATGAAATTATTGCGACACATTCAACAGGGCATAACTTTTTTACCATTGGGTAAAAATCAAATAAATTTTGCACACTTTTTCAAAAGGGCACAGTAAATGGCGAGATCTACAAATCTGAGTGCCTCGAGAAGCGCCTTTTGCCGTTCTTGCAGCAGCACGACGAAGCTCCGCTATTTTGGCCAGATTTGGCATCATGCCACTATTCTAAAAGTGTCCTGGAGTGGTTTGAGGCCAATTCTGTCCATTTTGTTCCAAAGGACATGAATCCGCCAAATTGTCCGGAGCTGCGCCCGGTGGAGCAGTACTGGGCAATAATGAAGCGGGAACTTCGGAAGAGCAAGAAAACAGTCAAAGACGAGAAGGACATGTTAAGAAAAGGGGAAAAAAAAACTGAGAAACTGGTACCGGATGACACTGTAAAGACTTTGATGGAGGGCATCAAGCGAAAATGCGTTCAATTTTACACTCAAGGCTCCATCGATTAACTTTTCTTTTGATTTTTGAAGTAAATATATGTATAAAACTACCCTAAAATTTTGGTTTGATTCTAAACATTATAAGAAAATTGGCATGAAATTTTCGGTGTCGCAATAATTTCGTGTTCGCCCTTTATTGCAAATTAAAAATGAAAACCTTCGCAAGGCTTAAAAGGTTCCAAATCGGGTCTTGATCATCTTCACTGTAATGAAAAAAAAAAAAAAACTAGTGATGGGTTGTGTCTGAAGCACGATCGCATTATTGACGTAGGACTATTGTTTTTGTAGCTCAATTCATTCACTTGATAAAAAATAGTTCCAAAATCATCAAAGTTTTAATTCAATATTCAAAGTTCCTTTAAAACTTTCTATTTCAGTTCCAATCCCAATAAAAATTAATTTCCGAACGTGTACACTCATCTTTCGGTAACTGAATATTGTTTATTTATTAGCAATTCTCTAATTTAAATGTGTTTCATATAACAAACCGGTTGAAAATACTTCAAAGTGCTCCAGACACCATGTTTGAGTTTGTTTGTTATCTGTGTTCAAATAAAAATAAATGTAAAATATTTTTTTTTTCATATGATCATATTTTAAGCTCACAACAGAACTGAAATGTCTCAGTTTACAAAAGTCATAGGGCTCATTTAAAGTTGCAAACATTATGGATTATGGCACCATGTTGATAACTTTTAATTTTCATTGCCCACCTTTTAGCCACTGATGTATGTCATGAATGTTGTATTTCGTATACTGACAAATACGTTACATTTATGAAGTCCTCATTTCACAAGTTATGACGGCAAATAAAATAAAAGCTAAATACAAACGTAAAATTCCAGTTGGGACGTAATTACTTTGAAAAATAAGAAGAACTTACATAGTTGGATATGCTTAACGTCAAATATCAGACTTAAAGTGGCCATTTTATACGATAGATGAGGAGATGAAAGTATAGAGTTGATAGTTCCGTAAGGATACGGCAGTGTGAAAATTGTATATACACCCAACCGGGGGATGTAAGATTCGCTTACAATTATGTGTGATTCATCATCAGAGGATGTTAGTGGAGACCGCATGAACCGAGGATGCGATATACCTAGCTGCGCTCCGATGTAAGAAAATTGGAGACCGAAAAATGTTGAGTGTATTAGTGAGTGAAATTAATTATGTCGAAAAAAATAGAAAAAAGTTGCCGACTGGACTCGAACCACGGACGTTGCGATTATCAGACCTGTGCTTTCTCCACTGCTCTCTCTATGCTTCTGAATATGGATAGCCTAAAAGCATACATGAAGCGCTCATTTTCTCGCATGCTCGACTTCGTATGCTTTTTCTGATGGAGAGATTCGAGACAAGTGTGTGCGTCGTTCTACAATGTTCTACAATGTGCGTCGTTCTACAAGCTTACTAGTATAGTCGAAAGCGTAGATGGAACACGAAATAGAAAAAGACAAAAAACCATTACATCGCCTGCATGGTCAATTTCTAACATTCGTTGCGATGTTCATGAACAGAGGATGATAGGAAACGGAACTAACATTCATTGTAATAGATTTTTGGTTTGCGTGTAGAGAGTAGAAAGCGAGCAAAGGTCAATTTTGAGGAAGGTACGAATCGGGGTGATCATCCACTTAACCAAACTCCCCTGTTGGGGAGCCATACTCTAACAGAACCATCAACTCTATACTTTCATCCCCTCATCTATCTTATAAAATGACCACTTTAAGTCTGATATTTGACGTTAAGGTGAATTGCTGTTACATCCTTATTCTCGAAACCACTTCGAAACTTTAAATGCACAAATATCAACATCTGCGACACGTGCAACATTCAAATTGTTACTCCACGTTTGCTGCACTGCCGCATACATGAATTAGCAATTTCAGGTGAAATGGGGCACCGATTTACGAGATTTGTGTAATTGAAAATTCGAAGTGGAAGTGCATGTAAAGCCTTCGTGGCAGCCATTTGTGGACTCTACAAGGAATCACCTTAAGCATCTCCAACTACACATTTAAAAAAAATCATGCAAATTTAGGTGTCATGAGAGTGACATATACGAGCGTCAATTTTGATATAAATTTGAGTAATAACAGACGCAAAATATAGCTCAACATATATTACATGGGATTTTTGTTTACGTTCATTTTTTATGTCAAAGATGGATTCCGTCAAGTGTAAAATTAGTTATTTCTAAGTATGTGTATAATTCGTTGACTTCACGCATGAAGTAATACAAACATGGTTAGTTAAAGAAGAATTTATAAAAAAAATCAAATTAAAGAATGATTATTTCATAGGTACCCTTACATACCTGGTGACCGAATTCTGAACTAAACTGTGCACCATCCAATACACAGATAAAAATTCTGAATTTTAATTGTGATGTAAACATTCAAACTCGTAGACTTGTATTTCATTTCACACAACCGAGCAACTTGCAAAAAAATGTTGTTTACAAAGATGGGCTTTTGTATACAATATTTGCTACATTGCATGAAATGTGTCAGAACTATACATGATGTATATTGTAAACTTATATGATATGTGACGCTCCATTTATGTGCATCATATTGAACAGAAATTTACACTACTTTTTCGAACTGTGTAGGTCTTGTCCATCTGAATAACTTTGCCAGCAATAGCAATCTGCTGTCTAGTTCAGCTACCAAGTTAAAGTTAGTAAATACTCGCGACGTCTAATGTGAAACTTCTGAAATGAGCTATCCACACGGATAGAAATCCCCTTATACCTTTCGGCAAATTTCTATTGCATGAAATGTATAAGTCAATAAATAAGCAGTCGCCTTGCAAAAAAGTTAATGAAGATCATGTGTCAAATGAAATACATAAATGGTCACATATACCGTTTATGCATTCTTATAGGAACTACACAGAAAAAATTCTGAATTTTAACTATTGCGTACCAGCTGGGTGACATGCCGCCATGTTATTGAAACCAACATCTGAAACGTAACAATTCCAGTGTGAACTGTAAAAATGGCGTGACTGAATTGTCTTATTTTTATCAACTGAAATTATTTTCCCTTTTATGCCATATAAATGGTTGACTTCGTGGTAGAAAATCAGAAAATAATATTTTATGAGTCCTAAGTTTATTTTTCACAAAATGTAGGCAAAAATATTAAGAATATCCATAATATCAGTCACGCTTTTTTTGAAATTCTGGCTTGAATCTTCTATTTGTTTACAAATTATGAGCTGTCAGTGGGGCCCACGATTCGCGGGCCCGCAGCGATGTTAGCTCTTTTCAAGGCAAGGCAAACAAGATAGGGATGCCACCCAGCTGTTGCGTACACACTTAGATTTTTTCCGAGATGGACACCACCGAGCAGCTCGGTATTTTGTTTTGCTGGTTCTCAGTTAAAAATTTACCGAGATTCAGCTAATACTTACAATTCAGTATCCTTAGGAAAATTGTGAAAAGATTTTTGCTTGGTAACACCTTGTTTATTTGTGCACCGATAAA